TACCACACCCCAGAACCCCAGGTTACGAGAAGTCCTTGATCAGCTTGTAGCATTTCTCTCGCCCATCGCTTCCGTTGCCATCTCCATCATGTCCACGGCACTATCATGTCTCGTGATAGTTGGCTGAAGCCAGTAAGCGCCTGTAATCTAGGTCAGCAACTCCCAAGGTGGGATGAGAGATTTTGGACCGTACCGTAGTTGAACTCGGCCTCGTGCCAGGACTTGTGAACTTTGAGGCCCGGCCGTGAACCGACTTTGTCCATGGTGTCCTTGGTCCACTTGCCGCTTCCAAAGAAGGCAACTCGCTCGCCCTTCTCAAGACGAATCGGCTGTTGGCGGATTGTGCCGACGAGTTCCCGAGTCGGGACAAGGTAGCTTTCGTAGCGTTGCCGCTCTGGGTGCCACTGGCCTTCGAATCTCCAGTTATCGTCAGCCAGGAGTCTGTCAACTTCGGCATCGTCGCCATTGCCTCGCAGGTGGCGTCGTGCGGCTTCGATCCCGTACTCCATCCATCGGCGGGACTGGCCGCCGGCCAGATCATATGCACGCTCGATCCGGGCGGCATCCTGGCACCCGTCAACGAACAGCAGGCACCCAGCCAGGTTCTGCGGGGCGCCCGTTTCAGGGACCTTGGCGAACGATTCGAGGAGCTCGCTCGCCTCGTCCTGCTCAAAATTGGCGATGCTACTCCCCAGCCAAACCAGTGTCCTGCGGTAGGGTGCGATCTCTGGCCGAGCGAGCCATTTGGCACCGTCTTCGTAAGTCCCCAGGAGACCGCAGACTTTGATCCAATGAAGGTCGGCACGCTGCGTCACCTGGAGTAGGGACTTCTCAAGCTGGGCCTTGTCAACGTCAAGCGCGTAGTAAGTCAAGGGGGAGTTCAAGTAGCCGTCGAGCGAGGACAGGAGTTGGGAAGTCTTTGACATATTGCCTGCGCCCAGCTCCACCAACAAGTCTGGGCCGGACGCGGCAATGGTGCTGGCGATTTCATTGACCTCTCTCTTTATGAGTTTGTTCTCGATCCGGAATGGGTAGTAGTCCTCAGTATCCAAGATATCGTCGTACAGCGTCTGTCCTTTTTCGTCCCAGATGAGCAGGGAAGGCAGCAATTTGCGGCCGGGTGGCTGACTCAGTCCATCCAGAGTCCTGGAATCCAAATTATCCAAAATCGAAGTGTGAGAGGACTCAGAGGAGCGAATGTCAAGGAATCCGGCATCTGGGAGAGCGGGTAGTGGATGGAAGGATGGAAGGGGTCGGGGAACTCTGTTACTCGCCGTAACTGACGGGCTGGCCGGAGAAGGCGCTCGGTTGAGCAGGTCAAATTGACCCTGAGTAAGTGCGGACGCCATTGTCGTGTTCAAGGCTCGGAAACTGGACTTGAGAACAATGATTGCCTTGGCTGAACTGGGAAGACTGGCTACCAATGCAACCCCCCCGCCCAACAACACAGGCGGTCTCCCTTGCGCTATATATCAATATCAACAGCTGCTGTTGCTGTGTAACATATAGTATATGTCGAACAGTTGCTGAGCTCCCGCGGGCGACTGAAAAATAGGACCAATAGACATCCAGACTTTCTACAAGGAGTAAAGATGGGCCGGTATGGGACCGGCCCCTGAGTGGTTTGCACGCCCGCCGGTTCGCGTCATCTCTTCTCTCTTGGTTGACGAACAGCGGGCTGCGGCCCCTGGGGCTTCCTAGAGGACGCCTCCACACGGGATGAGTTGTTTCACAGGCATACTGTGCCGGCACAGTTGGCGATGATGCAATGGGCCGTGTTTGTGGGTGCCATTCACCTCTTCCAAAAGTTGCAGAAGCTACCGCAAGTGCCAAGCGAATAAAGGTTGGTAGTGGTCACGAAGGAATGATGGAAATTGTGAGTGGAAAAGCACTCGGAGTTCCGTCATTCCTGCACGTTCCCAGGGTCTTGAAAACGATCGACCAGCAACGACCGCCCTAGGGTCCTCCAACCAGCCTCGTTCCTTACCGATATTCCATCCGTTTCCTCATCCGGTTTACCCCTCACTGGGCGCGCCTGCCTGAGATATGCAGTCGGCGTAAAAAGGACGGCCCCATTGAGCTGAAAAGCTTCCTCCCGCGGCAGGAGCAAGCCTCAAACCGTTTCCAGCCCCAAAGTTTCCTAGTGACGGCCTGGCAGGTCTGGAATTTCTCAATTGACCACGTCATTCATGCTCCATGCTTGATGCTTGATGCTTCGTATCCCACCGGGGCCGCGGGGCGCTGCAGCACAAAACAGATCCAGGCGACGCGCGCCCTGATACATTTCTTGTGAGGGTTGCAAAACATGATTGTGGCTTGCGGCTTGCAGATCTGAACCCCCCATATCCATTGGACGGGAATGGCATCAGGTAGTGCAAAACCCCCCTTACCCACAAGGAGTTCTCCAACAGCATCAGTCAGGGCTGATTTACGACAACCCGCAGTCGTTAGCGAGGCAAGATGATGCGGGTCGCAATGAAACGAGGCCCGCCAGCCAGCCACATTTGGTGTTGTTGGCTCCGTGGTTCGGAGTTGCTCAATCCTTACCACATCTCACCGGTATCTTCGATCCCGTGGCTGATCGGTTGGCTGCCCTGACACCCACCACGGCCCCTGAAGTACAGTAACGGGCCAGCCACCAACCCCCGGCCCTACGAACCCTGATCGACGCTGCGGTTCCTGGAACCTCGGACCTGTTTTTCAGTGCCTGCAACATCCACAATGGCAGCCACCAGGAAAGTAGAGATTGTGATTATCGGCGCTGGGCCGGCTGGGTAAGCAAGACCTGTTGCGTGCCGTTGCGTTTGTCTGACTGTCATCGTGACTCCAGCCTGGCACTGGCCAATTGGTTCCGTGACTCGGACATCAGGGTGCTTCTTGTCGATACGAAGCCTGGCCCAACACCTCGGGGCAAGGCGGAAGGCATCAAGAGCACAACAAACGAGATTTTCGACTCGTTTGGCATCGGTCCGCAAATTACGGCTGAGTCATGGAGACTTGAGGAGATCGCCCTCTGGGGGCCGAGGAAAGACGGCGGCGATGGCATCGTGAGGGAGCAAGTCATCCCAGACCGAGCCGAAGAGCTGGGGAAGGCTCGTGAGTCGCTGCTTCAGCAATGTAAGAGTATTTCGGGTTGCGTGAGAATATCTACCCCTGAGTTGAACTGACAAGTTCTAGCTCGGGTCGAACACCACATGCTGCAGAACCTCTTGTCTCACAGCAGCCTCGAAATTAAATACAGCACAGGCCCTACCTCCGTCCAGATAGATGAGTCCCACTCACACCCTGGCAATGACTATCCTTTGAGTATCAATCTGGCGCGCGTCAAGCACGACGAGAACCAGGCAAATGGCACACAGACGGCAAATGTAAGCATGGCGCCACCCTTGGTTGGTATCTACTGACAATAGCAGGATCTCAATGAAGATGGAAATATCGAAGAGCAAATTCGTGCAAAATACGTAGTTGGTTGTGATGGAGCCCACAGCTGGCTGAGAAAGCAACTTGACATATCCCTCGAAGGCGACTTGACGGACTCGGTTTTCGGCAAGTCATCCCGTCGAGGATTGCTACTCCAAACCACTAACCTCTCGTTTGCTGTATAGGCGTGGTAGACATGATACCCAAGACCAATTTTCCCGACGTCCGTAGAGTGTGTTACCTCCGCGCAGCAAGCGGTACAATCCTCATGGTCCCACGGAACAACAAGGAGATCCGCCTCTACATCCCCGTGGAGAGTGGGAGCGCGCTCCCAGACCCTAAAGACTTGACCTTTGACCGCATCCTTGCCGCTGCCCGCCAGATCATGGCCCCGTATACGCTCGAGGCGGGTGCAGTTTCCTGGTGGTCCGCCTACCGTGTCGGCCAGCGCGTGGGGAGCCACTTCTCCAGCGCCAACGAACGGGCCTTCCTCGTCGGCGATGCCGTGCACACGCACTCCCCCAAGGCTGGACAGGGCATGAACACGTCCATCCAGGATGCGTACAATCTCGGCTGGAAGCTGCGCCTCGTCCTGCAGGGCCGTGTCCCCGTGGCCCCGGGAGCCCTGCTGCAGACATATGAGGCGGAGCGCCGGCCTGTTGCGCAGGACCTAATTACCTTTGATCGCGGCTATCTCAAGTTGTTTTCTGCGTCCTCGGCCCAATTCGACACCGAGTTCCTTCGCGCAATGAAGTTCACCACGGGACTGTCGATCCGATATCTGCCATCCTGTGCTGTGCAACTGCCCCGCGGCGTGGACGCGCTCGGGCCGAGTTTGCTCAAGGCGGATCTGGTGCCGGGCAAGCGCCTGCAAGACTTTCAGGTCGTGTATCAGGCTGATGGCGTCTCGACGCGCATCCAGACCAGGATGCAGGCCACGGGTGCGTTCCGGGTCGTGGTCTTTGCCGGAGACGTTGCAAACGCGGAGCTGCTGGCCAGGTCCCAGCGCCTGGGGGAATTCCTGGCTGACCCTGTGTCGGGGCTGGGGAGGCTTACCATGGCAAGGGGGGACACGTCGGCGACCTGGCAGCAGGTGCCGGTCGAGGTGCTGGTTGTGCACTGCGCCGACCGCAACAGGGTGAGTTTGCTGGATTGGCACGAGGTGTACCGGCCGTGGAGCAGCGACGAGGGGTATGACTACTGGCGCGTCTTTGCTGATGCTGAGAGCACGCACGACGGACACGGGAGGGTGTATGAGCGGCTGGAGCTTGACGGGAAAAAGGGATGTTGTGCTGTAGTTAGACCGGATGGGTATGTTGGTGCGGTGGTGGACGTCGATGATTTTCAGGGGTTGAGGGGTTACTTTGAGGGGGTGGGGATGTTGCAGGCTGAGAACCCAGTCGTGAACGACAAATCGTAGTATTAGCGTTGGTTGGGCAAAACATTGTATTGCATTGCATTGTTGATTGTGGTGGAAACTGGAAACTGGAAACTGCACTCGAAAAACAGAGGAAGGTGAGTGGGCGGCGGTTCTCCATGGGGCCGTATTCCGAACCCCTATCCAACACTTCACAATTGAAGCCCCTGTAGCACAATGGTCGGGCGTTAGACTTCTACATGGTAGTAATCTAAAGGTTGCGGGTTCGAGTCCCGCCAGGGGTTCTCATCTTTTGCTTTTTTTTTACCTTCGTAGCCATTATCTACATAGGTGCGACGATAATAGCAGCCACTACCGTGAAGATGACACGCATTTTCCTCTGTTTGTTACGCTGTCTTTAGGTGCATGCGCTGGACTACTACGGCAGGTCTGTGAGTCGGAACATGGTAGTACCACGTGCTGCCCCTACCAAGCGATCGATGCGGCGCCGAATCCGGCGTGGATAAGCTCGCGCTAAAATTGCTGCTCTATTCCGCCATCGTTGGCTCCGCCTGCCCTGAAACAATGCGCTGGCAGCGTCGAGTCATCCTCTTTCCCACCTCCGATTAATTGAAGGCCATGCAAATGCAACCCCGGTAGCGTTGGTGCAAACCCCCTCGGCAGTCCGACGACCACCAGCAAAGCCGGAATGGCGGGCGGTTTGACGTGCCAAACGCTGCTTCGGCGCCACATCCATGTCCTCCGGCAGTTGCGGCAGCGCCGGTCGCTTTCCAACAACACGCCGCCGCGACCGCAAGACCAGATCCCGACGCCCAACAATGTTCCGACGCTCCCTTTCTGGCAGAGGCTCGGCCCACTGACGAGGGCTGCCGAGGCGTACGCCAGGTGCCAGCGCAAGAGGCCGCTCACGACACAGATGTGCACCTCGCTCTTCATCTACTTTTGCTCCGACAGTGCGTGAGGCCGGCGGCCCCTGAACCCATGCAACACAATACTGACGTGGCTGCAGTCTCGGCGCAAAGTATGGGGGGCAAGGACTATGACCCCATGCGGACGGCGCGCTCACTGCTGATCGGGGCGGTATCGTCGATTCCCAGCTACAAATGGTAGGTAGGCGTCGCTGCTGTCGTTCTGTTATCGTCGTCGGGGGGAGGGGGGGGTGGGTGAGGGGTGGCTGACACAGCCCCGCAGGTTCGTCTGGTTATCCGACAACTTCAACTACCCGTCGCGGCTCCTCTCCCTCGCCACCAAAGTCGTCGTAAACCAGATCTGCTTCACGCCCGTGTTCAACACGTACTTCTTCGGCATGCAGGCGGCGCTGGCGGGCGCCACTCTGGGCGAGACGTGGGAGCGCATCACCAAGACTGTCCCCGTCAGCGTGGTCAACTCGTGCAAGCTGTGGCCCGCTGTCACGGCGTTCAGCTTCGCCTTCCTCCCGCTCGAGTATCGGCCCCTGTTCGGCGGCGTCATCGCGGTCGGCTGGCAGACCTATCTCAGCTATCTCAATCGCCTCGCCGAACGCAGCATGGCTGGGGGTGTGGATCTGTTGGAGGGTCCGCGGTTGGAGAAGGCGGTTGCTGCATAGAATGGGTGAGGAGGCGCGTGTTTGTTGCAGGTTTCTGATCGGACCATCGGTTGGGTAAATAGACTCGGATACAGGTCGGCGTTTTAGATGGAGTTCAGCTGGTTGCCTTTTGGAAATTGGATCCCAAGCTGCGAGATGGTCACAGTGTCAGTCTTTCCATCCCGCACTGTACCCACCCCAAGCACCTGGCCAGCGCATTCGGCACAAGCTTCAAAATTTCGCCCGCAGCCGAAGCAACAACAAAGTCGGGCAGTCTTTCGTTCCCCTCCAGCCATTGACCGCCAGGCCCGGCCAGGCTTCGTCCCCAACATGGCGGCCCCGTATCTACGAGCTCGACACGCGCTCTCGGCGGCACTGCGACCCGTCGCCCGGCAATCAACACCGCGGCTGAGCAGCCATGTCCCGCGGCGCCCCGCATCCACATCTTCGGCCCCAGCACCAGCACCAGCACCGAACGGGCGAGGGCGGTTGACATACCTGCTCGGCGGCGCCACCGGCGTCGTCCTCACCGGCGGCATCTACTACTACGCCACCGACACGCGCGCGTCCTTCCACCGCTGGCTCGTCCCGCGCCTCATCCGGCTCCTCTTCCCCGACGCCGAGGACGCCCACCACGCCGGCACCGCGGCCCTGCAGACCCTCCACGCCCTCGGCCTGCACCCGCGCGAGCGCGCACCCGACCAGCCCTCGCCCACGGCCGCCAACCCCCTCGCCACCACCGTCTTCGGCACCGTCCTCGCCAACCCGATCGGCATCTCGGCCGGCCTCGACAAGGACGCCGACATCCCCGACGCGCTGTTCGCGCTCGGCGCCGCCGTCGTCGAGGTCGGCGGCTGCACGCCCCTGCCCCAGGCGGGCAACCCGCGCCCGCGCGTCTTCCGCATCCCCGCCATCGACGGCATGATCAACCGCTACGGGCTCAACTCGCGCGGCGCCGACGCCATGGCCGCGGGGCTGCGGGAGCGGCTGCGCAAGTTTGCGCTGCGGCTGGGGTTGACCGAGGCCGAGATGCTGCAGGGGGCCGCCGCCGCGGAGGGGGTGCCGACGGGGAGCCTGTTGCCCGGGCGGCTGCTGTGCGTGCAGGTGGCCAAGAACAAGGGCACGGATGAGAGGGATGTGGATGCGGTCGTGGCGGACTATGTGTACTGCGTGAAGCGGCTGGCGCCGTATGCGGATGTGCTGGTGGTGAATGTGAGCAGCCCGAACACGCCCGGTCTGCGGGACCTGCAGGCGGCGGAGCCGCTGGCCAAGTTGCTGGGTGCCGTGGTGGAGGAGGCGCGCAAGGCGGATCGGAAGGTCACGCCGCGGGTGATGGTCAAGGTGTCGCCGGACGAGGACCACGAGACCCAGATGGAGGGGGTCGTGCAGGCTGTGTGGATGAGCGGCGTGGATGGTGTCATTGTGGGCAACACCACCAAGAAGCGGACGGGGCTGGTTCCGCAGGGCGTGAAGCTCACGGTCAAGGAGCAGCAGACGCTGACCGAGGACGGCGGTTTCTCCGGGCCGGCTCAGTTTGACCAGACCTTGAAGCTGGTTGGGAGGTATCGCAAGATGCTCGACAGTTACTCGCTCAAGACGTCGGGGGTCGACGACGTGTTCCCCCCGGCAAAGGTCATATTTGCAACTGGCGGGATTACGAATGGCGAGCAAGCCCTGAAGGTCCTGAACGCCGGCGCCAGCGTGGCCATGGTGTACACCGGGCTGGTCTACGGTGGCTCGGGCACCATCACGAGGATAAAGAGCGAGATGAGAGAGAAGCTTGCGATCAAGGAGGCATGAAGAGGCGCGGCGGTCGCAGTTAGCCCTTGTGTATAGTTGTGGCTCAAGCTCAAATGGAGCGGTTCTCCATGCCCCTCCACGTTTGCGAGGACCTAGGGTTGAACTCGATCGGTCAAAGATGACGACCGCGCCTGGCACCCCATTCCCGGCCCAGTAGCCGACGATAACGGCGGCTTCGTTGGGACATCGGCGTCTGGCATCATGCGAGGGGTGCCGCCTCGCTCGGCTACAGATTCCCCCAGACGCAACAACCCTACAGAACATTGCTATGAACGCTTTCCGGCCGCTTCCCCGTGCAACCTCGCCACGCTCTCAACCGTCAACGCGTCCTTGTGCCTCCGCGTGGCCAAGATATGTTCCCGCAACAACCACCCCATCCCCAGCGTCGCCCCAGGCCCCGCAGCAACAACCCCCACGGCCCCCCAACCCATCACCCTCCACCACCCCTCCCGCAACATCCCCGCCCGCGCCAAGTCCCCAAACAAATACCCCAGCCACACCAGGTGCGCGCCCAGCGCAAACACCTCATCCCACCGCAGAAAGTCCCCCGTAAACCCCGCCAGATCCGCCGCCCTGCCGCCCAACAGCAGGCCCCGCGGCACAAACACCCCGCGCATGCCATGCCCGCCCCACGCCCACGCCCACACCCACACCCCCGCCGACAGCACGCTCGCGACGCCCACATACCACTTCATGACCGGCACATCGCGCGGCGCGGCCCGCAGCACATCCTCGGCCGCCGTGTCGCGCCACAGCGTGCCAAGGCCCCACAGCGTGAGGGCCAGCCAGACGGGGTACAGCTGCCAGAGGAAGAGGAAATGCTGCTGCTGGCCGGGCTGGGCGCCGGGGAGGGCGGCGAGGGCGAGGTAGAAGGGGATCAGGTAGGTGAGCGCGAGGGCGGGAAGGGCGGCCGCGGTGCGGCGGTTGCTGGTCAGGCGCTGGTCGAGGGCGGAGAAGTTTTCGATGGGGGAGAGGGTGTAGTCTGTTTTTTTAGAAAAAAGGAAAAAGGGGGGAGATGTCAGTTTGGATTGTGTGGAAGAAAATGGGGGTATTGGTGGGGCGGCTTACGGAGGAAACAGTAGAGGGGGGAGAGAGCGCCGATGCCAAGGACTTGGCCGAGGAAGGCAAAGACGAGGGGCCTGTGAGCGCGGGTAGGGGGTTAGTGGAGGGTGGTGAGGGGTGGGGAGAGGGGCCGGACCATTGCATGGGAGTCATCCTGTTTGCGCGACGGCCGGACTCGAAAATCCAGATCATGATGAAGATGAAGCCGTCGGTGAGGAAGGAGATGATCTGGCGGCGGGAAGCGGCGTCGTAGCCGTACATGGACGGGAAGAAGAAGCTGTTGATCGTGGAGATGAAGCCGTCCAACCCCCGGTGGCGGTAGAAGCTGCCGAGGATGGGGACGGCCCCGGTGGCAAGGTCGATTTTGCCGCCCATTCGAAAGGCAACCACCCAGTCCATTGCTGGGCCCACGTTCAAGACGACGCGCGCAGCAACGAACAAGGCAAACAGCGGCAGCGCAAACAGCATGCGCCTGATCTTGCTCTCGCGCATCCCATCGCCGTGCGCCGGGTTGAACGGCTGAGTCCCGGTCAGCGACGCCATGGGCAGTGGGAGGAAGTCGAGCTTCGGGGCGCCGATTGTGATGTTGCATATCAGCTCGGGAAAGAACTCTGCCAGCCGCGGTAGCGCAGCATAGACAAACAAACGGCTCGTCGGGCCGTGTAAGTTGTGGGCACGCGCCAACGCCCCTGACGAGCCCACAACTGCGGCGGCCCGCACCTCCCGCGACCTCTGATACTCGGTCAGCATAGACTCGATCTCTGCTTGGGTTGGATGGCGGCCCGAGGCAGCGCATGCGTCAGCCAATCGCGTGATGCCGTTGGCGAGCGTTGCTGCCGTCTCAATGGCCGCATTTCC